CCGATATTATGTGTCCCTTGTCAGTTCAATTGATTGTTAGTTATTCAGATTTTATTTCCTTTTTTTATTTCAATTTTGTTGGTGATTAATTAACTAATAACATGCATTTAATTAGTGACAGCTACATTTCTGAAGTGATGCAGTTTTACAAAACACAACAAATATGCTTCCATTTTCTTTTTCTTATTTTTAATTAATGGGGGGAAAAATAAGCAAACCCATTCATAATTGATTTCCTAATTGAAAACGTAATGACCAAGAACAAAGACAAAAACAGTTCTGGTGGACAGCCAGGTGCACATTTGTAAGTGTGTGTGTGTGTGTGTGTGTGTGTGTGTGTGTGTGTGTGTGTGTATGAAGTGGGGGTTGTTCCTGTTGGGGAGGCATCACACTCACCTGTTTCTAATTGGGGGCAGGGAGATGAGCTCGCTAGATAGCGTTAGCTGGGTGGACAGAGATGACAGCTGCTCCACACACATCCCCCACTGGCTCCCCACCAGGATTAGGAGCACCTGTGTTCACAATGCGACGGAGGCAGTTAATCTAAAAATCTTAAGGAGACATCCGGGTGGGTTCCCGCGAGCCACAACCGGCCGTGCATTGGTGTGAGTCTCACAGTGAGAAATGCAAGAATGAGACACAACTCCTTCGGGTTCTTTTATCATCTTCAAAAGTGAGTACCAACAGTTAATTTGGTGTCAGGTTAGCCAGACAGGTGTGCAGATTAACAAACTATCACCACGAGGAAAGTGGCTAATGGAGCATTTGACCTCTTTTATCCATTTCTCTCCAGTCATTAAAGACTGTGTGGTTACCGTCGATATAAACGTACACACTGGGGGGAAGCACAGTGCGTCCCTGGGGGTGGAAGCCCACTAAACAACGAGCACACATTTCAGCCTACAACCTGCACGGGGGCACTGAGCACCTCCTACTCACCAGCAGGCTAGCACATGCATCACCAAAGAGGGGGCAGCGTCACGAGCCTCCAAACTGGCACCCGAATCAAGCCCTTCGTTTTCTCGCCGTGCCTGCCCCACTTATTGTGTGCCTGGAAGTATGGGACTGAAAGGCCCCCTCGCAAACAGCTCACCAATATGGCACTCAATGCTGCAGGGCCCATGAGCAAGGCACCAAACCCTCCGCATTGCTGTCCACTGCGTTAGAATGTGTGTGCACGGGTGTGTGCATGTTCAATGCACAGGTCTAATGGTAAGCAAAGCTTGTAAAACGTGTTCAGGACTATATCGTCTTTGTCTGAACTGAATCTTCCTTGAATGATCCACAATTGAGGCTGTGTGTGAGCAAAAGACAGTGGCGCCTTGAGAGACTAGTGTCCCGTCTGAAGAGTTCCGTCTGCACGTTTCATACAACGGCTACATGCTTCAAACTGCTTTTTCAAAAGGAATCCACACTGGGTCAGCGCTGGGTCTGAAAGGGACGGAGCCGATGCTGGGTTATTTGTACCCAGCACTTAAGGTTGAGGATTTGAGTCAGTACGTTGGGTCTTGATTTTGATAAAACAAGGGGTAAAAAGTAGCCATTCTGATGAGTTAAGGCAAACAAGAAATGGGTTACCCGGTTATCAGTATAGCTGTGGTTAAAAATAAGACTTATTTTACAACCGACATGTTCTATGAAGGAAAAAAAAAACCTCAAGCGCATGACATGTTCTGCACAGCTTTTGCAGCGGTTGTCCTTCTTGACACAACCCACACATTTTTCACAGGTGGGGTGCCCACTATGACCAGGATTTGAACCCCCATCCCTGTGTCCAAAGTCAGCCGTGATTTGTGTTTTAGTCATTCTTTTTGGAACAGATTATTCACAAAAACCAAGTTTTGCTGGAATCTACTTTGTTCACAGCGCAGGGCAGAAGAATAAAAGTGTAATGCGATCAATGTGCAAAAAAAAACCAAAAAAAAAAAAAAAACAAATGAAACTTATAGTCGGCTTTCTGTGTGGTTCAGTTGAAGGTTTTGTGACTTCGGTGTGGAAAAATTCCATGTTAACCAAAACCCCTTGCAACAACAACAAAGTGACCTCACTGAATTCTCCTCTTGGTAAGCAAGAATGAAAACATGAGGAAGGTTTTCTAGACAGACCAGTGAGTGAAACAAATACCAAATGGAGAATATTTGCCCTTCATTGATTTTATTGTCCGAGAAATATAAGTAGATTTTGTGAGTGAAATAGCTGAGCATGTATGAAAACGTACAGGTGCAAGCCCAACCCAAGATGTGATTGCTAAGTCGCTTGTCTCTTTTCATTCCAGTCGTTCACTCAAACGTCACTGTGATGTTTGCTGAGGTCGGATTGCTTTCTCAAAGTGAGAGACCCACCAGCGCTTACGCCTAACCACACTCCAACCAGCATTTGGATAACTAAAAGCAAGCAGAGGATGCGTTCAAATCTCATCTCAGGTCATCATCTTTAGAAAGAAGTCTCAGTCACGAGACAGAACCCGAGTGGAAAGTTGTTTCTAATCTCACAGGCAACGCGCAGCTAATATTTTTTCCATCTTTCAGTTGCCCCCGCATGCCTCCTCCGCTCACCTTCTTGCTGGCGTTTTGGTCAATGGTTTGAGCATTGCTTTACACACACACACACACACACACACACACACACACACACACACTCACAAAGGTTGAGGTAACACAAAACACCACCTTAGGGAAGCATAGGGCTGCTGGGGTGAAAGTACAAAGCATTACTGGGGAAAGTCAATACAGGTGGTGTCAAGAAGACAGACAACAAAAAAAAACGTTTGTGCCACACAAAACTGACGCAAACATACACGCGCACACAATATGTAATCACACGATAATTGAATAACTGAATAAAGGAATTTGGAGGGCTTAATCATTTCAAGATGGAACTCTTAACATGGCATGAGGGAGGACAAAACAACTGCACAAATCCATCCGGGCTTAAAGACAATTTGGGAAATCACCCGATAGTCTTTTAATCCAAAAATCCAGTTAGTCATTGTCAAATTGTGCTCTGCGGGCCCTGGACGTTTCGAGGGTTTCCTTTCATCAGATATGGCTTTGCTCTATGTTCATCGAACATTAACAGCTAGATCGATAGACTGATAGATTCATAAGGAATGGAGAAAGAATGTGAATACCGTACACATAAAGAGGCTATACAATTTAGAATTATATTGCATGCATCCAACCATGAATTGTCCATACGGCTTATCCTCATTTGGGTCGCGAGTGAGCTGCAGTCGATCCCAGCCAACTTTGGGGGGGAGAGGCAGGACAGAGCCTAAACTGGTCACCAGTCAATCACAGGGCACAAATTGACAAAAACTACTCACACTTTAACAAAAAAAGGCAAGAGTCTTCAATAAAAGCGAGTATGCATAATTGTCACCTTTTAGAAAAACACAATAAAACCCACAAAAACACAAGAAGAACATGCAAACTCATCTCAGGAAGGCCAGAGCTGAGATCTGGACACAGGACATCAAGGAACCAGGATGTCAATGATGACAACATCTACTGTAAGCCCCACCGCACACCAAGTGACATGACCAAAAGCTAATGAACTGGACAATCCCCCCCAAAACAAACCCAAGAGTCTGAGACTCTCTGTTGCACATTGTGCAAATGTTCCTCGCCTACATAACACTGCAAAGGAAAAATTGTGAGCCCTATTGTTCTTATCGGGAAACAATTTTTTGGGGTCTTTAAGAGCCCTCATTTTTTACTGAACCACAATCATGTCACATTTAAGAAGGAAGAAACATCGCCACATTGATGTGGCGATACTAAATCATAATACAAAGAGGAAATGTACCACCATTTACGGATGGCACTCCTGCATTTCATTGAAGGAGACACTCCCGTCCGTGCCTTGCTTGTTCATCCACAGGTACATTCCACTGCCATCAAGTGGAATCCTCACATCTCCAAAATGATCACTTCTCGGGAATTAAAATAAATACATCAATAAAAATAATACTTTTTTTAAAGCATGTTTGTTTAGGTGTGCCTTCAAGCTCCCTACTTGGTTTATTTATTTTCTCCAAACAATGTATCTTTGTTCATCCAGCTTTGCTGGCTACATACAATATGGTGATAGGCAAAACAATGAAATGCATTTCCACTAGATGGCAGAAGGAACAATCACCTGTTGCCATTCATACAACAGAATAACCTCTTGGTGATCAAAGAAACAGCCTCACATTTCCCACATTTGTGAGGAAACTGAGATGAGACATCTTATGATACTCCGGTTTGTTGGTGTGCAATAACATTTTATAACATAAAATAGTCGCCTTGGCACGAATACGGATGTCAAAAGTGATCATGTATTTCCTGGTACTCAAATTTGGTCTGTTGACGCAGCAGAAATTTCAGCTGGACAAAGAAGAAGCCCCCTTTGGAGGTTAACCGAGGCCAGACGGAGGAGGGTTCAGACCCAGTCTTCCGCTCTCCAGACGGCTGCACAAGCGTTGCAGCCCCCGCTAAAAAGTGCTCCTGAACCGTAACCAGTCGCCCGCTGCGAGAATCACATCAACGAGTAGTTCTATGGCACCAAACCTCAAGTTTCTGTTTGAAAAGTTAACTCAGAGAGCGGCGTGTCAACATAAACAAAGCCAGACAATTGTGTGCCATGTTCAATTGTGTCATACGCCACGCGTGTCAACGAGTGTGACAGTTTCCACAAAGCAGCAGACAGCTGCCGAACAGGTACTTTCACACCGCTCACTCTTGGGAGCCTGTCACGGCGAGCCCCGCGCAGCCATCGTAATATGACTCCTATTTATATGAAAGCTAAATAAACACACGGGCAGGTATCCATACGCATGATAATGGACGCAGTGTCATGAGTTGCAACTCGAAACTGGACACGCCACGGGAACTCGTAAAAAGAAAAAAAAAGAATAAAATACGCACAGACACGCAGCGTGTCTAAGTCTTCGAAAGCCGATTAAAAAAAAGAAGAAGCTTCTATTTGTAAGGAAGGCGCAAGTGAGACCTACCTACCTGTTACCCCATGGGCTCTGAATGGGCTCTGAATGGGCTCCGGGCTGCACGGCGATGTCGCTTCCCTCCGAGTCCAACGTGGTGTGACAGCCCCGAGACAAGACACGGTCGGGGAGGATGATGAGTGAAGCGGGGCGGGGGGGATGTCCACTCGGGAAGCTCAGTCCTCTCCTATGCGTGTCTTTTCTGCCAAGTGTAATTCCCCGTGTTTTCTCGCACTCCCCAGCCCCGTTTTCTCTCGCTCTCCCAGCTTCTCCCTCCCCGGCTCTTCCGTGTCTTGCTATCAGGAGCTTCCCCTCCCCTCCCCCTCATCTCCTCTCCTTCACTCCCTCCCCCATTATACTTTCTCTTCCTCCCCCTCACCTCTGTCCCTCTTTCTCTCACACTCCCCTGCACGTCTTGTTTCTCTGGGCAGGCATCCTCCTCCACCTCCTCGTCCTCCTCCTCATCCTCCTACCACAATAAATGAATATATTATTGTGGTGCAATAAAGCAGTGTTTCCAAACCTTAATTGAGGCAAGGGAGACATTTTACCCCCCCCCCCACCTCCAAAAAAAGAAAGAAAAATTCCAAAAGGCCACTCAGAGTATGAGTACTGTACAGTCATAGTAATGAATCTGATGCATCAATTGATTCACGAATTGACTTTAGCAGTATGAAATGCAGGCCTGTTTCATTGAACGCAAAGCTGATATACTTTTTCTGTTGTACGAATGGAAACAACTTTTATTCTTCTGCCCGTCACTATAGATAGATGAGCAAAGGGATACTTGTATCTAAGAAATAATAATCTATGGAAAAATGTAGAGAAATCGCATAATTATACTTGTGTAACATGGCACTCAGGTTGGAAAAGGGTGGAAAATACATTGATCGTTTTAAAGTGATTTGAAATGTCTTGCAAATGTAATAATGCTTTAATATAATGTAGTAAATGCATTGAAAGAAAATAAATACACGAATAATGAAAAAAATCAAAATGATGGGAAATAACTCACATCAAATTTTAGGAACATCACCAAATACGTTTAAACGATTATATACATTTTGCACATTATTTCTATAATTATTATTATTATCTTATTTTAAATTCAAGTGAGACTAGGTATTTTTCGAGATGGGGAACGGTTGGATAGGGAGTCAAATATTTTTGTATGTATAAAAGATTGCCCAAATCATTTTTCTTGTTTACCACCAAAAAATTAAAATAAAATAAAATAAAATGTAAAAAACGTGTTCTTATTTTCATGGTAACATAAAACATATTTTAAGAAAAACAAACATGGCATGTCAACATAGGTAAAAAGATGAGAAGTTGTAGTAATAATAATCATCATCATCATCATCATAATAAAAATAATAATCGAGATGGCGGTGTTTTGACGTATGCAGTGGGTGACACGTGTGGCATCTGTTGCCATGGGACTAACCAGTGGGCAGGGACTCGGGGAATGGCACCCCCTCTGGTGGCAACCAGAGGAAAAACACTACTCGGTGGGGAGGTGGTGGTGGTCGGATGGGTGTCGTTGACAGTTTGACAAAGTGCCTGGAAAACACCGTCTCGAGTCACGTGATGTCATTTTTTAAAAGGAATATTTCTGGGGTAAATCCACATGTTGAGTTGACCTGACATTTAGAAGGGGGAACTTTTCCACTGGTGAAGTGAGCAAGCAAGCATAATTTTTTTTCTCTTTTTTTCCCCTGGGGTTTTTTTTTTTTTACATGAAATATATGCAAAATTACATTTCGATGACAATTTTACCATGTCAATTTTTACCTTATTTTTCATATTATTTCTATACATACCACTTGTGCTCACAAGGGGAGTGGGTGATCTGGATCCAGGCTATCCCAGCTGACTTTGGGCAAGAGACGGGGCACCCTGGACCGATCACCAGTCAATCACAGGGAAGATATACACGGACAATCATTCGCAATCACATTCACACGTATGGACAAGTTTGAGTTTTCAGTTGATGTGTGTGTGTGTGTGTGTGTGTGTGTGTGTGTGTGTGTGTGTGTGTGTGTGTGTGTGTGTGTGTGTGTGTATATAAAAAAAATAATAATAATAAATCCTCATCTCACCCCTCGGGTGGTGTCCGTCCCCCATTCAGCTCGGGTCCTCTACCAGAGGCCAGGAAGCTTGAGGATTCTGCGCAGTATCCTTGCTGTTCCCAGCACTGCACATTTCTGGACTGAGATGTCCGATGTTGTTCCCGGGATCTGTTGCAACAACTCATCTAGTTTGAGGGTCTCATCCTGGCTGCTCAGGAGCAGGCTCTGAGCACCAGAGCCATTGAGGCCCAGATATACCACAGCAGAAGAGACCCAAGGTGTAGGTTGTGCAATGAGGCACCTGAGACGATCCAACACATAACTCTGTGATGGCAATGGCGAATCACTTGGGACCTTCTTTCTGATGTTTCCATCACTTGGGACCGCTACATCCACTACAACGGCTTTCCTCTGCCCTTTATCTATGATCACGATATCCGGTTGGTTCGCCATCACCATCTTGTCAGTCTGGATCTGGAAGTCCCACAGGATCTTTGCTCTGTCATTCTCCACCACCTTCGGAGGTGTTTCCCATTTTGACCTTGGGGTTTCCAGTCCATACTCCGCACAGATGTTTCGGTAGACTATGCCAGCCACCTGGTTATGGCGTTCCATGTAGGCTTTCCCTGCCAGCATCTTACACCCTGCAGTTATGTGTTGGATCGTCTCAGGTGCCTCTTTGCACAACCTACACCTTGGGTCTTGTCTGGTGTGGTATATCTGGGCCTCAATGGCTCTGGTGCTCAGGGCCTGCTCCTGAGCAGCCAGGATGAGTGCCTCTGTGCTGTCCTTCAGTCCAGCCCCCTCCAGCCACCGGGGCCGATAATGA